ACTTTTACCAGCTCTCTTCCCCTTTTTGAAGTCAAACATCTTGGATTGTTTAGTTCATATTCGAATCAAAGACTCAGTTATCGTAGTTACCTTCTCGTTACTTTTACCAGCTCTCTTCCCCTTTTTGAAGTCAAACATCTTGGATTGTTTAGTTTATATTCGAATCAAAGACTCAGTTATCGTAGTTACCTTCTCGTTACTTTTACCAGCTCTCTTCCCCTTCTTGAAGTCAAACATCTTGGATGTTTAGTTCATATTCGAATCAAAGACTCAGTTATCTTAGTTACCTTCTCATTCCTTTTACCAGCTCTCTTCCCAGCTCTCTTCCCTTTTTGAAGTCAAACATCTTGGATTGTTTAGTTTATATTCGAATCAAAGACTCAGTTATCATAGTTATCTTCTCATTACTTTTACCAGCTCTCTTCCCCTTTTTGAAGTCAAACACTTTTGAGTATTTAGTTTATAATGAAATCAAAGACCCAGTTATCATTTTTCTCAAGGATTTCTCTTGGATCAAGACTTCAGTTATCAGATAACCATTACAAGTCATACCCGTGTAAATCTCCACGGCAACTTCCTCATCGTTCCTTTGATGTCCACAGTGGAACAAAAGAAACTAACAGTGCGACTCTACTTCGTCGACTAACTTTAAGGAGACACAGTAGTGGAGGAGAAGGAGTCAACCCCGAAGAGCGTCGAAACTCTAGTCGGGTGACAGAAGACAGAAGATGGAGCCTTGGAAGCGAGTTGTTAGACTCCCATGGATACGAAAGGCTAGAGGTAGGTGGATTAATGCATGAGCATTAGCAACGTTTTATTGTAAATCAGATGCTACGTTTTAAATTCACTATAAGCGTAAAATCTACAGGATGCAATCCATAATCACTGGAATTCAATAGGATTATTGGGCATTACCTACGCTTAAATAAGTATGAGGCAGTCATAGTCTTTGGATGGAAAAAAATAAATAGAGTCAAATAAATAAACCAGGAGGCCCAAAATTATTTATTGAAGAGTAAGTAATTGTTAGAGTATTTTCAATGACATTTTTTTTTAACCTAATTATCCTACCGGTAATTTGTTGGAAGCATTGACATATGAATTCTAGGGTTAGCAAATCGTAGCTTTCCGAGTTAGTTTACACAAAATTTCTGGAATAAGTGAAGCCTCAGCTTTCGATCTACCTAATGGGTAAACGTGGATTTATTCTCCTGAAATATGTTATTTTAAACTTTATCAAAAAATATCATTGAGTTTAATGACCATAACAACAAAAGTGAAAAGTTTATTCCGCTAGGACATTTGTGCATAATTTACACAATAGCTATCTGCCCTACCCAGGCCTAATTTTGAGCAGATAGAATAGAGGGAAGATATCTAGTTAACAACACCCTCCGCCAAAGCTCGGACTACTTTAATTGAATAACGTGATTTCACCATCATTCTTATAATGTACACATGTCTCAAAGATGGGAGCCATGATCCTTTAAGCCTACTGAAGAGTTATCTATAGTAAAAGCAAGGAAACTCCCTTCTGAACCCTCTAAGCGCAGAAGGTTATCAGGCAGAGATAAAATAGCAACAGCTATTTTATCATTGCTGAGCTACACAGTGGATTATCTGCGCTCTATCCACCACGCGGAATCGAACTTCGGATTTTAGAGTTGTAAATCCGAAAACTTACCATTGGGAGACAGATAGAAAAGGCATTATAAATATCATCCATTAAATTATTTGAATAAGACTTTAATAAGGTCTCTTTTACGACCCTAATCAATGTAACTGATGAGAAGTAATTTTTATTCCAAATTAGTATAACTTTGGAGAACGGGTCGAAATGAAATATAAATAGATCCTTTCTCAGAATTTTTTCACCAAAAATTTTTGACAGGATATAAACTGTCTAGCAGGCGAGAAAAAAAAACTATTTTCGAAGTAACGAAACGTTTGTGCATAGTCATAAATAAAAACGCTTCTGTTTTGAATTCATGCAGCATAGGAGAATAAGTTTCAAAAAGTTTTTTATATTAGTGTGCTGTGAACGATAGTATGATGTTTTGTTTGTTTGTTTTTTGAATTTCGCGCAAAGCTACACGAGGGCTATCTGCGCTAGCCGTCCCTAATTTAGCAGTGTAAGACTAGAGGGAAGTCAGTTAATCATCACCACCCACCGCCAACTCTTGGGCTACTCTTTTACCAACGAATAGTGGGATTGACCGTCACGCTATAATGCCTCCACGGCTGAAAGGGCGAGCATGTTTGGGGGGACGAGGATTCGAACCCGCGACCCTCAGATTGCGAGTCGAGCGCCCTAACCATCTGGCCATGCCGGGCTGATGGTATGATAAATATCTAGTAACTTACAACTTCACCCTTAAACAATGCTGAAAAAATTATTAAATTTTTCTTCTTCTGAACTACATGGTAATGAGCTTAGCTAAGGCTGACTTGTCGACAAATTTTCCTATTGACTTACGTTTAGAACATAAAAATATCGGACATTTCATATCTGGCCTTCCAAATATCTATCAAATATTATAATATATTAAATAAAAAGCTAGTTTATATGTGTCCCTAGGTGGATCATTTGTTTGTTTACGGATTTAAAACGTTAAAATCTGGGGATCTATTCCTCTTGGTGGACAGATAAACAACAACAAGTACGAGTATATGTGACCCCCTACTTCCCCCTCCTCACCCCCTACTACCCCTAGCTCTACTAGTTCTTGTTTTGTTCACTACAGGATATTTTAGAAAAAATAAGAGTGACCTACATTGGCCTCGGGTGTAAGATTTACCTGGTGTGTTTTGAGTGCGTTCACCCGACGGTCAAGTTAATATTCCTTCAAAAAGTAGAGGGCGCTCTCTCTATGCGCAGCTACAGTAATGAGTAAAATAAACTGTGATATGATTACAAATGATTAATCGTTTATGAATAATTAAGTAAAACTGTGTGTAATGAATTTTTTAAATGAATTTGGTTGTCTTTGTTCATGAGATCTAAGGCGAAATAAATATTCTACTTTCTTGTTGAGTCATCTAGCAATTGTTGCACTCAGATTTCGTTTCTGTAATTTTCTACTCGACTTGTCTAGGAAAGTGTTTTGTTTGTTTGTTTGTTTTTTTAGACCAAAGCCACTTTGGGCTCTCTGCTGTGTCCACAGCATGAAATCGAACCAAAAATTTTAGCGTTGTAAGTTCGTAAATTTACTGCCGTGTCACTGGGGGACCTAGGAAAGTGGGCCACTTTGATTACGTGTTGAGTTATATAGTTATATAGTCTTACTGTAACTTTAAGTATCATTTTTAACACACAAAAATCGCAAATTGATAGAAATGGATCTAAGTGCATATACAAACGAAGTGGCCTATCATTCAGTACATATTTAAACAAAGTGGCCTGTGATTCATCAGCGTACCTAACAACATTCCTGATTCAGCATAGGATTTAGAAACAGACCCATAATCCAACAGGAAAATCTAGCAAAATGTTTCATGAATTGTCAGGATATCTAACAGTGTCCATGATTTAGTAAAGTATTTAAACAATGACTCACGATTTTGTAGAGTATTTAAAAATAAGCATGATTCAGCAGAGAATTTAAACAATAACTCATTATTCAGCAGAAGAGTTAAACAATAAGCATGATTCAGCAGAGGATTTAAACAATAACTCATTATTCAGCAGAGGATTTAAACAATAAGCATGATTCAGCGAGGATTTAAACAATAACTCATTATTCAGCAGAGGATTTAAACAATAAGCATGATTCAGTAGAGGATTTAAACAATAACTCATTATTCAGCAGAGGATTTAAACAATAACTCATTATTCAGCAGAGGATTTAAACAATAACTCATTATTCAGCAGAGGATTTAAACAATAAGCATGATTCAGTAGAGTACTTAAAAAATAAGAATGATTCAGTAGAGGGTTTAAATAATATTACACGATTGATTCAGCCGAGAATCTAACAAGATATTCAATTATTCAGCGAAAACTCATTCCATTAACGAATGAACGTAACTTGTCAGGTTGTTTCTTGTTAAAATAAATTCACAAAATCTGTTACATTAATGCTGAAATTCATTAATAAAAACCCCCTCCTTCTTATGCCACAGCAGCAAGTCTGAAGACCTATAAAGTTAAAAAATCGGGTTTCGATACTCGTGGTGGGCATTGCAAAATAGCTCATTGTGTAGTTTTGTGCTTAACTACAAACAAACAAATATAAATACTCGTGGTGGGGATTGCAAAATAGCCCATTGTGAAGTTTTGTGCTTAACTACAAACAAACAAATAGAAATACTCGTGGTGGGGATTGCAAAATAGCTCATTGTGTAGTTTTGTGCTTAACTACAAACAAACAAATATAAATACTCGTGGGAGGGATTGCAAAATAGCTCATTGTGTAGTTTTGTGCTTAACTACAAACAAACAAATATAAATAATAAATTAAAATTGCACATGTATCACTTACAGTACCCGAAATGACGTTAGTTTATTCGTTCTTTAAATTTTTATTAATATTTATACACTGATTACATAGATTGTGGTTGGTAATTAAAACTGTAATTTTAGCACTAGAGAGTTTGTTTGTTTTTTTGATGAATTTCGCGCAAAGCTGCACGAGGCCTATCTGCGCTAACTGCCCTTAACCCTTTCAGCATGACAGTTAGTGGTCTGCGGACCGACCTCGTAACCATTTTGTGCTTGTTATAGTTTTCATGTTATAACTTTTAAATTATTAAGCAAATGTTAACAAAATTTGGCACATTATCAGTTAACATTACAATGCTTTCATATGCAAAATATCAAATTTTGTATTAAGTCTTAAGGTTTATAAAGCATGTCTATTTTTTTTCCGCATGTTGCCTATCTATCATGCAAAGAAATATTCATTTAAAGATTAAAAATACTGTTATGCAGCAGAAAATTTTGAAATTTCACATGTGAAATATTTTAATGTCGAGATAGTTATCAAACGTTTCTTAAGAAAAAAATTTATATTTTATCTGTTATTTTCAGTAATTAATCTCTATATCGATCTTGTTTGTTTGTTTTTGAATTTTCGCGCAAAGTTACACGAGGGCTATCTGCGCTATCCGTCCCTAATTTAGCAGT